GACTTTAGTCTTTGCAACTTTACAGATCTTCTTTATGCACCAAGAGCTTGTAACACTCCAAAGAGAAAGGAAAAAGTTAAATCGCATCATATGACCCCTTTAAACACATCCTCGTTATGAAGTGGCATTTAAGAGATGGTAGGGTCACCATGCTTGGCAAAGTGGAATAAAAGCATTAATTTTAAGTATTTATTTTGTCATAATTATGACAGAGCTGCTTGTTTTCAAACTTTTTTTTTATTAACAGAAACTGGGACTGTTGATATGTTGAAGTAATTAACCACAATTCATTTTGTACCTCCAGAAGATTTAAGAACTGAATGTTCTATAATAAAAACAACTACTACAACTACTGTACTGACAGAAAATAAAAATAAATATGATTTCAGTTTACATGCACATATATATATATATATATATATATATATATATAAAATACATATTTATTTATAGTATACATATTATACATATTTATAGTTGTTTTAGCATTTTAATTCAGATTGTATTTTTATTATTTTATATTAATAATAATGAGTAATGAAATAAATGTTTCAGTCCATAATGTATTCTCAGAGCATCAGTAAATGATAAATTACAAAGGTAAAGTTACTTTGATTTTTTCAGCATGATAGTTTCTAATTTTATACAGTGTTCCTCTTTAAATTTAGTTGAGCTTTACATTGAGGTTGATCTGTTTGTGTGTAAATATAGCTCTCAATCAGGCAACTGCTTTTATTTAGTAGTATGTTAACCTCAGTGATAGGAAATTATAATTTTCTGAGAATTTAAGATATTTATTGATTAATAAGTGGGGTTAGAAAATAACAATGGCATCAACTGGCATTAAATTAAAATGTTGGACAAATAAGGGTAATTTGTAGGGATGCACCGGTATCGGACCCGATACTGAGCTCTTGTACTTGTACTCGTTAAAATGCCCCGATACCAAATGCCGATACCACACAGCATGTGATAAGTGCCATATTCAGACAAAGAAACACCGACAACAGACAGCAGAATGGAGTTATTAGAGATTAAGGATGTATACGAAGTATATGTATGCAATGAATATGTTAAACATTCAGTATTAATGCCTGTATAGCTGGTGTGCGCGAGCTGATAAACTATCGGTATCGGGCGAGTACTGGAAAAAGTGGTATCGGTGCATCCCTAGTACATGACATGTTATGTGTGGTTTTGTGTGATTATCTTTCTCTTTCACAAGCATAAAATGTGTTTAGTCACTATTGAATGTGGATGGATGTGCAAGAAAAAAATAATTTAATTAATTAAAAAAATTTATTTAAGAAATTTGTGCTGGTAAATGGCACGTATCTTGCTCCCAGATTCCATTTCAAGTGGTTCATGACTAAACTTAGCTCAGGCATTAACTTAGCATATTCATAGGCCAAGTGTGAATACTTTGAATGATGACTGTTTGCAGAGAAAATTAAAGTCTGAAGTTACTTCATCATTAAAGTGCTACATTTTGTTTTATAATTTTGTTGTTGGAAAGTAAGATGGCAAACGTTATTTTGCAATCTCGTTGATATTTAATGTAGTATCTTCAGGGATCATGCTAAAAGCCTTCATTTGATCCCCACAAGCCAGCACCTGACCCACCCAGGCCAAGGATAGGTTAAAAATAACCCTTTCTATGTGTTCATGGGTTCCCTATGTACTGTGTTTTAAGACATCAGCAGTTGTTGTTTTTTTAAAAACGGAACATTTGAACAAGAAATTATTTTGAAAAATCACACATTTTGAATGATTGTGGGTTGTTCCTCAAAATTAAATATATCTTCAAAAATACTATCCTCAGAATACTAGGAAAATAAAAAGAATGGTGGAGGTACATGTATATTCTTTTTTTTCTTTTTTCGGTATCTGGACATTTATTTAGGGTGGCATGTCAAAATAAAGTTCTTACAATTTAGTGTTTTCTTCTTGTGAAAAATATTGTAATTAATCTGTGCAGGACAGAAATTAGCAATTCAAATTCAGAGGGTGTTTTGTAACGGACAGGGTTTGTTTTGTTGACATGAAACTTGTTTGTCACCCCAGAAATATTTCAACATTGAAATCTCACTGTACAGGAAAGGGTAGGGGTGTTATGGTATCATCGTGACACAACATGGGTTTAAAGGGGAGGGATTTTGCTTCTCCAAAAAATGGATCTTGAAAACAAATGGAAAGGAATGTGGGCTCTGATTGGTTGGAGGTATGGGCTGTCACCCACTGGCTGAGGGTAGTATAAAGACCAGGGCCACTTTGCCCCAGAACAAATCTGACAACTACAGAGAATCATTTACTGCTGTGCCGCAGCTTATTTTTATCTTTTGGGAGACAGCCATCGAATTTATACAGCAAAAGGCTACAAAGCGACCATTGACATGGACATTCAGCGAACTTCCTCTTTGTTGGGGTCTCCTGGCTCCATGGAGAGCCTTGAGAAACAGCTAAGCTGTCCAATTTGTCTGGACATGTTCACCAAACCAGTGGTGATCCTGCCCTGTCAACATAACCTGTGTCGAGGATGTGCTAGTGATCTTTATGACTCTCGAAACCCTTATCGTTTCTCCGGTGGTGTCTTCCGGTGCCCTACTTGCCGTTTTGAAGTGGTTCTTGATCGTCATGGCGTACATGGACTTCAGAGAAATCTTCTTGTTGAGAACATAATTGACATATACAAACAGCAGCAGGAAGGTGGAGGTGGAGGCAGCACCACAGAAACATCGATAAAACCCAAAAGCTCCAAGGAGCCAATGTGCCAAGAGCACGAGGATGAGAAGATCAACATCTACTGCGTGACTCACCAAATTCCCACTTGCTCCATGTGTAAGGTATTTGGCCAACATAAAGACTGTGAGGTGTCACCACTTGCTAGTGTCTATCAAGCTCAAAAAGGAGAGCTGAGTAATGCCATCGATGCTCTTGTAGCAGTGAATGGTCGCCTTCAAGCATTACTTAACCAGATGGAGGAGGCCTGCACAGCTGTTCAGGACAATGCTCAATGTGCTAAGCAAAGGCTTGGTGAATGCTTCGATTCTCTGTATGCAGCCTTGGAAGAGCGTAAGGGTGCCCTCTTGGAACGTATAAGCAAGGAGCAGGATGAGAAGATAGCTGCCCTCAGGAGTCTGGCCAGGCGTTATGGGGATCGTCTTCAGGCAGCCACAGAGTTAACAGACACTGCAGTGCAAGTGCTGGAGCAAAGCGGTGCCGCAGAGTTCCTGCTGGCCTCCAAGAACCTGATCTCCCAGACAAAGGATGTGGCGAAGAGCTCACTGGCTGAAGAAAGGCCTGAGCCAGGCTTTGAAAGAATGGACCATTTCACTCTGGATACAGAACACGTGGAGACTTTGTTGTCCAAGATGGACTTTGGAGGAGACGATGATGAGGAATTTGAAGATGCTGAAGATCAGGAAGAGGAGTGAATGGGTTGCACTGAAGGAAGAGTGTCTTAGAGGGTAAATAGGATGTGATGAAGGACAAGAAGATCAAACAAGGACAGTGACTATGAGAAAGAAGAGGGTTTAATGTTTGTATATCACTGCTAAGCAGTGTCAGCATTTCAACTTGTATGATTATAAGAATATTTCAGAAAAACTAGGTGCCATTTTTATACTTTTTATAATGTAGTTGCTGTTGTCACTTCACAAGTTATCTTCCTACTTTTACATGTTTTACTCCAGCAATAGATCATTGTTGTCTCATTTTACAATATGTGGTTATGTAGTTCTGTATGTTCAGTTTACTCAAATGTGGACTTAATGCTTTATTAAATAAAATATTCAAATTTATTGAGATTTGAGTTTATTTCATGAGATGTACTGTACAAATCGAATTTATACAATCGAAATACATTTAAGGATCATTTTAAACGCAGTATTTTGGAACTGTTTACAAGTAAACTCTTCTCTGGTTAAAGGCACATGCTATTTTTAAAAGGTAAGAGGATGAGATATGACTGGGGGACCTTGGGGGTCGAATACCAGAATAGGACAGATGGACAGCACTGCCTTGCTCAGCAGCTCTTGCTATTCATGATTGCGAGTCAAGGCGAGAGAGAAATCAGGAACTGGGAGTCAGGTTGGCTCGCATGTATTCACAAGCACTAAAAATAAACAAGCAACATGCAAAAAAATCACTTTAAATCCTCCAAATGTAACTTGTTGCTGGTGAGGTGCTAAGACCAGACATATTTCACACATCGAGTGAATCTGAACTATTTCTGTAGAGGGCATCCTTGTATAGCATGTTCTTGTCTGTGTGTAATTTCCAAATGGCGGTCCTGTAGTCTGCTGACCTCCCTGGTGTTGCATACAAGTAGCTGTTGGTAAACACTGTTGCTAAGAGAGTTGCTATTTATTTAGTTCAAGGACTGAAAAGTGTTTGGAAGTGTCTAAGGTTTCAAGGCATACTTATTTTCCTTTGTTTGCTATAATGGAGTTTAAGTAATTTTCCAAAACCAAATTTTATCTCAGTTTTTCTCGTATTTACTGTAAGGTCCCCTGGGTTAATGGATAATGTCACACTTTTAATTCCTTTAAGTTTCTTGAAGTAGTAGAAGTCTGCTTCAGTAATCAGAAGTGTGACAAATACATTGACAGACACCAAGGCTGCATTTATTTGATTATTTGATGGTAATATTGTGAACCATTATTACAATTTAAAATGACTATTTTAATATATTTTGAAATATAAAGTATTCCTGTGATGGCAAAGCCAAATTTTCAGCAGTCATTACTGCAGTCTTCAGTGTCACATGATCCTTCAGAAATTCTAAAATGTTGATTTGGTGCTCAAGAAGTATTTCTTATTATCAGTGTTAAAAACAGCTGCTTTATAATTCTGTCTATATTTTTTCTAAAAACAACAAACAAACAAAAATCTTACTGACACCAAACTTTTGAACAGTAGTGTAACTCTGCATTTTCTTGGTCACCTGTAAATAGAGCATTTGGAAACTAAACTTGCTTTTACGTGTTGCTGCTTTCAAATGGGTGTGAATTGCTATCATTATAAAGTTTAACTTTATAAACTTCGAAAAGCCCAGGAGAAACCAAGGCAGAACACGTATAACACCAGTTACTGCTATTTAACTTTGTTTTGGAGCACTCAAATTGAGTTACGGTACTCTGCGTTTGTTACTGTCCATTAAAGTCTGCCGCGTTTAAATTACGGTGTAACTTGTGTACTTTCATACATCTGTCACTGAAGCACTTAGACAAATGAATGAGATAGATCGCGATCTACCAAACTGCTCCATATAACATAGCACTGTAAACAAGCAAAGACTAGATAACTTGGCATCAATAAGTAATCGTAAATAATCTTTAATTTTTTTTTTCTTTTTATAATGCAAATTATTAATTCAGTGGCAGCCTGTCAGTCTGGGGCTGCTCACTTCTAGTTGTACGAGTGTGTACTCGAATGCCGTGACAGTGTAGCATGATCACACATAAAATCAGTAGTAACAGTTCTCAATTAAATCCATATCCTACCTTTTCTTGTAACCCGATAAAATTCATGGCAATGAACGCCATCAGAGATGTTTAGTCCACAAGCATTCTGAGCATTATTCCTACTTACTGGTGTTCACATCAATTCACAAGTCGTCCTTTTAGGTTAGGCTGTTTTCATTCAAATCAATGTAAAACCAATTAGGCTACGTCTGTGTCATCCTTTTACGTTAGTGAACAAATCATAGTGACGCAAATAAATTGGTTGCAAAACGGTATCCACTCACATGTTTAACTTTTTGTCTGGTTGTTACGGTCAGAAAAACAATTAATACAGTCACATTACTATATGTTACAGCCTATGAGATAGCCCGTGATCACTAGATTTTATACAGGTGTTACTATAATGATTTTGTAAGTGGTGATCAGCAACCAGATATTGATAATGTGGAAGTTACTGCCTTTTGCCTTGGCGTGACATCTCACTTTTTGCAGACAATGCGAAGGCACAGTACAGTAATTTCAAAATATTCGTAAAAATCAAGTTTGAGCTCAAGATTTTTTTTAGATAATTTTCATTACTAAAACATCTAATTGCCAGATTTCCAGTGTCCTACCTATAATTAATTTGGCTGTACAAATAAAAATCTTTAAAGTCATTTTTCTCAGTTCCACACTCTTAACGAGTTGAGGTCTTTTGCCTTTGTATTGCAGCACTGGTTACTGAAAGAAAAAAAAATGATTTAGTGCACTTTCTAAAGGTTTATGATACCACTTTTACTGTCACCAGTACATTTTTTTTTTTGCTTGTCCTTGCTTTGGTGTGTGCAAGGAAGCATGGTGCAAAGTTTTCAGAATATAGAGTGAAAGGGAAGAGCTTGCAGGTGTGTTGGGAGATTGCCACCTTTTGAAAAATCTTTTTGTTTTTCTCTTGTGCTTTGTGTTTCTTGTAGAGTCCACCCGTAGGAGGGCATATGGGCTAGTAGCACAAGCTTACACCTCTATCAGTGCAGAGGACTTTGCTGCCTGTGTGGGATACTCTGTAGAAGAGGCGGTCAAAGGTACATAATCCGAGACACTGAGTGCTGCAAAATATTTGAGATTTTTTGGATTAGCGATTAAATAATTGATATAATATGTACATATTTATCTCTGGATTTTCTCTACTTTTCCTACCAATTTTTTTTTGTTGCTTATTCTGTCTATTCCAATCAATATTTCATATATTTTGAAAAAATACATTTGAAACAAGCCTACATTTCTTTTGGAGTACTTTGACATGTGTTTGGTCATCATTAGAATAAAAGTAATTTCCTTTGGCTGTGATTTCTTGATATTCGGCAAAAGCCACTTGTATTGCTGAGATCTGAACAACCCTCTACTGTCTTTATGTAAATGTCTGTTTCTCTTTCCTTTAAGGTGTAGTTAGTCATGGGTGGCAGGCAGATCCAAACACCAGGATGATCATGCCACAGAAACCAGGTGGGGGCACTGTTTCACTTCTTATTACCAATAATAACAGATGTTTTTTCCCCCCTCCACTCTATGACTCATTCCTTCATGAGGTTTCATTTAGGGCCCCTCCTCTGTACAAAGAGCTTGTTCCAATGAGTTAATGGTTCTGCATGTTTTTTTTTCACAAGCATGTGAATTGGTAGTCTCGTGTAGCCAGACCTTCAGACTGTTGGCTGAAGGTCTGGAATCCATGGCAGCTTTCATTGGCCAAGGCCCGCTCATGAGGCCGTTTGACCGACATGTCAAACAACCAATCACAGCTCGTTTCGTTCAGCGTCACGTTTCGGGGTGTGGAAATGTCGCCACAGTAACAGACCGGTGTGTAAAACTCTCGGATGTATTTTAAAGATTCTATGGCACGAACTTTAAATATTTCACATACTTTCGAAAATCCAGTGTTCAGTTGATCCTGATAAGCACTCGTTGTCACAGTTGTAAACACGACGGCTTTCTTTCGTGAGGGGGTTTGGCGTCATGGCCTCTTTGTTTCCAGGCGGAACGTTAAAGAACGCGCCACGCGTCTCCCGGAAATCCTGTATAATCTAACCAATCCGATGACGACCTCAAAACTCCTGAAGTGTTTCCACTTTTGTGTGCCATATGCATCAGACGTTCAGCCAGCAGTCCGTGGGCGTGACGTCTGAGGCTGAGACTAGTGAATTGGTGACTTCACTCCGACTCCACTTTCATCCTGCTCATGTTTGTTCCTGATTGGCTCTCAAAGTTTCTTAAAGATTCCTTCACTTTGTAAACTACAAGAATTTCATTAGTTTTTGGTCACCTTATGTTCATCGTTCTGAATTTTGCTGTTCTTTGTGTTGTGTGTTTTAGTGCACACAGCTTTTTGTGTTTGTCTATAACCGTTGAGAACTGTTTTTACGAGACGTTTATTCCAAAGGAACAGGAACAAGCAGCACCTGGATTTCTGCATAGGCCTCGTGAGACTGTGCAGATGTCTGTAATGCATTTAAATAACTGATGATTGAGAAATGATTCCCAGTACTGATGACCTGCAGCTTTCACTAAAAGAAGCTGATGTTTATTAGTTCAACACAGTTGCCATGACATTTTTCTTACTTGCAGAATGTGTTGTATCTGTAACAGACTCCCTTGCACACATATTCTTGCGCTTGTTCTATGCACAACTTTGTTTACATTCATATGTCAATGTGTTATAGAGCAGATCGTAGAGGACTTGAAGGAATCCCCTCCTCTCATGTTTCTCTTCTGCCTTCCTTCCCCTCTCTCCAGATCCGCCCCCGGTCTCTCTAGTTCCAAACGAACAACAGCTGGCCAGACTTACCGACTACGTGGCTTTTCTTGAGAACTGATAAGCACTCCACCCTCTTCCTCACCACCTCTCAGATACTCCGTTTTATGAAAGAAAACTCCTGCTTCAGTGATGGAGCCGCCATATTTCTTTTTTTCTGTTTTGCTTCTTGAACTTGTCAACCACAGTGATGTAGGACAGTTTCCAAATTGTTTTACTTGTACAACTTCCGCATGTACTTTGGAGTATGACATTGCTGTCAATATTGTAAATTATAGTTTTTTCAGCATAAATACTTCACTGTATGCACATATTGTTCAGGCTGTTTGGGCTGTTTTGCTGTTACAGGTCAAAATTTGATCCTTAAGTAATTTCATACCAACAAAGATGATGGTTCATGATGGTTAAGACTTCCATTTACAACTGTTGTACAAAATCGCTCATCAGAATCAATCTCCACATTTTTCCGGATGTGTAATTACATTTTTGTTATATACATTTTGGCACATCAGTTAATCAGAATGGCTTCTTGCAATATTTTACACTGGTCTCATTATTGAGACCATGCATTCAATTATGTACTATGTAAACAAAATTATCTTATGTTGATGCAGTGAAAAAAATGTCTTTTTAACCACTAAAATGTTTCAAACAACCTTGTTATCACTAGCAAAGGTATTGTTTAGCAGTGCAAACACACAACTTTTTTGGTAGGCACACAGTTGTATTAAGATGTTTTCCACTGTCTGACAAGTGTTTTGTTGACAGTGCATCTGTCTGTCTGCTATTCAGATGTTTTGCACTGCCTCCTTGGTTTCTCACGCAGTGGTTTTGAAAAAGGAGAGGAAGCGTACCAGCTGTTGGCCACTGTCACATCCTTTCAGCTTTAGAATAAAAGTGCGATCCATATGTGCTGAAACAATGGGTACATATGGTACTGTGAGAATATTAACCTCATCGATTTTAGTGTATGTTTATCTTTGAATTTTATCTTCCATATTGCATTTGCTCATCATTTTACATTTTGAGGTTGCACCTGCCTTGTCCTATCCGGTCTTTGACTTAGCAGATATTATTATTATGGATTTGTGTTTAGGTTTCTGATTGACCTGAGGTTTAGTGTCTGGCCCAAGGGCATAATAGTCACTGGGAAAGAGCTATATGTCTGGCACTAGGCAAGTGCACTGTTTGCCCTTATCTGGGATCTGCTTGCACTGTGCCAAAACTGCACTGTAAAAAAATTTCACCCCTTTCAACTTAAAAACGCAAGTTTTGTGGCTGCCTTAAAATTTGAAGTTAAAGCAACTTAAAAGTACAAGTCATTTCAACTCACTAATTTAAATCTTGCCTAGTGCTGAATTGTTTTATTGAAGTTCATTTGACTTTACAATATTTGCTGTTTCAACTTAAGTTCAAAACTAGAAAATTTATGTTAAAAATTATGATAATGTAAACTTTATTTTAGATCCAGATGAAAAAAAAATATACAACATTTGTTTGAAACATTTAAAATTAATTTTTTTATTGCAGTGCTTATAAACAGGGTTTTAATATTAAGAACAGTACACAACCTGCCTGTGCATGCTAATGTGTGAATGCCAGTATATGTATACAAGGGCACAAAAGCAGCAAAAAACTGCCAAGAAACTCATACAAAGCTGAAAATACACTCACACCTCATGGGAAACAACCACTGAGAAAAGCTTGAAAAAAAAAACACACATACATGTCCATTACAGTCCTTTTTTTTCTTGAACATTTAAAAGGAGAAAGGTGTCCTGCAGTGCACCATCGTAGTCTTCGTATTAGGAGGCCAGCTTGCACGCCCTTCTTGTGTGTATGAAGTGTCTCACCATGAGCCTTTAAAATCAGAAAATAACAGAGTAAAAATTACTAACAGTTGGTTATTGTAATTAATGACAGAATTTTCATTTTTGGGTGAACTATCCGTTTAACAGGCCAAACCACACTGACCGGTGGATCTGCATCTCCAATCGCAGCGAAATCGTTTCCTCGCTCCTACATCTTCCACCCTATGACCCAGACACCGATCGAACTCAGCTGTCTAATGATCTAATGATAGAAATGTAGAGAAAAAAATTAGAAGTCGTTGAAATGTTGGCTTATCTTAATAAGATATTGTTTATATTCTTTATGTAGTACATAAATGCAAAACTTACCCTTCGTCAAGTCTCAGACTCACAGTCAAATGTTTGCCTATAAAAAGAGAAAAACATATGTAAGGGGGAAAAAACAAACAAAAAAAAAACTTAAAAGTGGTTCAAATATTGACTTATCTTAAGATATAGTTTATACTCTTTATTTGGTACAGAAATGCAAAACTCACCCTTCATCCAGTCTCAGACTCACAAGCGTGTGCCCGTAAAAAAAAACAAAATTCTTCAACTTAAATTTACTTGTAAACAACACACACACAAGCAAAGACATTTCCTATACAAGAACCTCATAACCCTTTAATAACCTGAGTTGCCTAAAAACAATTATCAAGATGGATGGTGATCCTCAGTGTAATGTGCTCAGTCATAGCCTACAAAGGGAGGTAAACGGGGAATTGTTGGTTACTTGCTAATTACAGTTTAGCCCAAAGATGTAAGTTACATAACACTTTTACAGACTTTTTGTTCATGATTAAAATATGACCGATTCATACAACATAATGCATTTGTTTGCATTTACTGTTACCTGTAATCTGTTACCAGTAAGCAATTTGCAATCGTAAAACAACATTATATATCAAATATATGATGATGGCCAATAAAATAACGAATGGCACAGAAAACGAGCTTGTGAGGAACAGATGTAACGTTAGGCCTACAGTGCGTCCAACTGAGTGTAACGTTAACGTTTAACATGTCGGTTGTTCGGCTGACAAAAATGTCTTTCTACAATAGTCACAAATGAACAAGGTTAACAATAGTTTGAATCGTGGTCTCTTAAAGGGGTCATATGATGCGATTTCAAGTTTTCCTTTCTCTTTGTAGTGTTACAAGCTGATTGTGCATAGATAAGATCCCTAACTGACAAAACTGGTGACGTTTAGTTCATGCGTCGTAGAAACAGCTCGGGCTTCTTCTACCTCAGGTTAACTTATATTATATCCTAGCTTGAACGGTTGATAAAAAAATTAAATAATAATAAAAAAAACACTTAACATTATTCAGTAACGATTTTTCTAGGAAAGGTCTCTGATATTAAATTCGTGTACCAATTTGACTCCTGCGCATGAATCTATGTTCAGAGATTTGGCCGGTTAGTGCCAAAAAGCTACAACTTCAAATGTTAAGTTCACTGAACTAAATTGGGCTCTTTGAATTTCAGTAACATTAAACTGACTTAAAAAATCAAGTTGAATCTAATATAACTTATAAAAAAAAGTTGAAATTGCTTAAATTATTTGTAAGAGTTAAAGTAACTTAAAAACACAAGTTGTCATGGCTTTTTCATCATATCATTTTTTACAGTGCAGGTAACCTCAGGACATGCTTGTCATAAACTCCAGGTTTGGTCTGAATACGATAAAGCATTTAGGTGATATAGCCAAGTATGTCAACTTTGGCGAGCTTGTCATCAAATTCATTTGTGCGTCATTCGAGAACGGTTGGGTCTATGTAAAAGCTTTTGGTAACTTTTTGTTAGGACCTTCTGAAGATGGTCTGTATCAATTTTGGTGAAAATTAGATGAGCCGTCTAGGATGGGTTCGAAAAGTAATTTTTTTTTACATAATGTCAATTATTTAATGAACGGTTTGACAGCAGAGGTTCAGAGAAAAACGTACTGCGCCATGGTACAACAGTAATACCCATTCTCTCAAGAAAAAAACTCGTAGTCTTGAGCGCAAATGGAGAAAAACTAACTTGGAAGTTTTTAGAATTGCGTGGAAAAACAGTATAGCGCTATATAAATAAAGGTGACTTGACTTGACTTGACAGCAGAGGTTCTAGAGGCAACGTTTTTCAGAATGTGATGAATATTCTGTGTATGTGTGAAAGATGCATGATATAAGTGGTGTAAAATGTGATCACGCCACCTGGTGGCCAATTTATTTTAAATTTCTCAGAGACCTTTTAGGGCCATGAGTCAAACAGGCACAGTTTCATTCCAATCGACTTCTGTTAACCTTGTCTAAAGGGTGCTCAAAATTGATTGGCCAATGGCGGCCATGTTTTTTCAAGATACACCAATGCCTTCATAGATATCGGTGGCAGCTTGGATAAAGACACTGTATGCCAAATTTCAAGACAATCAGCCTAAAGTTTACATAGTTACAGCCATTTTCATGTTTTTTTTTCCTGTTGTAGCGCCACCGAGTGGTCAAACTCCATTTTTTTTTTTTTACCAAAGATTCAGCTCATTCATGTGTTCTGAGTTTGGTGAAAATATCTCAATCCATTCAAAAGTTATAGCCATTTTAGTAAAAGTGGCCCCACCCACTTCAAACTTGTTTGTGTCCTATTGCGAAAAATTTTCATGACAGGAATGAAACAAATGAAATTGTTTGTCCTGAGCCAAGGATTCCAATGATATACACTATACACAATGATAGATAGGTTCAGGAGTTGTGGCCAAAAATGTGCAAAATTCTTGTTTTTAGTGCTGTAGTGTCCCTTATTAGCTGTTTGGCGTGAGTCTTTGCCAGTGTCTCCCCAAATTGAGCTCTACCATCTGGCCAAGTTTCAAGTCTCTAGGCCTATACGATTTGGTCTGCATGATCCGTTTTACAGCAGAATAATAATAATAATGGTAAAAATCCTTACAATTACAATTAGGTTTCAATGCTTCGTGCTTGAAACCCTAAAAAAAAAGTTGTTGGAATGTTGACAGATGCCTGATTTGGTTGGGCATGAATTTCCTTTGTGCTTTATTGTGACCAGGACTGGCAGGACTTCCTTTGTAGTTTGAAACCTGGCACTCCTGAGAGGTGAATGCATTAAGCTAAAACCTGCAAACCTTGTTTTATCGCTTAGACCAGCATAATTTCCTTCGATTTTATATTATATCATACATTCTTAGCTGTTTGATCAAGTGCAAAAAAAATACAAATAAAAAACTTAAAAGGAATAAATGCAGACCAGCTGAACTGAAGTCTTTGACATCGGGAACAGTCAGAGGTCACAGACACAGGCTTTACTGGATTAGCTGGGGTGTGTGTGTGTGTGTGTGTGTGTGTGTGTGTGAGTGAAACTGCTCAGCTATTTGCGAGACCAAATTAAACTGATATCCACTCCTAAACTTTAAAAGTTCGTTTTTTGCTTGCTTTTTTTTTATTCTTGACAAATGATAAATCAGCATTGTTAGGATAGTGTTTTTCTTTGCTTTCAAATAAGCACTCTTGTGGTATTTTTTACAAAAGCTAGACCTTACCTCTTCTTGGACAGATGTTTGTAAAGTGCTATTGGCCATTCCTATTGAGTTTGCCTTTTCCAAGGGTTAAGGGTTATGTCTGTATCCCATCATGTTACATGCCACAGATGTGACGTGCAGTAAAGGTGAGCAGATTTTAAATCCTTATCTTGCTTCTACCTAACTTATCTTATACACTTCATATTTTTGTTTCTCTTGAAATTCTAAATGAATCTTTGGATAATTTTTAAGCATTTTCTGCTGTTGCTACAGAAAAAGTGTGTTAAAATGGTGAAACGGCTTTGTCTCTTTGTGCGGAACTGTAATATCTCACATTCTGCATCTGTTTTAAAATTTGAATTCTGCAGTGTAAGTGTTGCCATCCTTTAAATCTGGACTTCTCTCCAGTACTGTTGTTCTGTTTATGGACAGAGAGTGTTATGAACCACTGAGGAAGAAGGGTTATTTGTCAAAACACGGAGTAATAGATGTATTGAATTTAAATAAACAAAACTCCTGCCACATGTGAAGGGAAAATGTTTCCATGTAGGTGGATGAGTCATAGGTTG